AATTCAGAATTATTTATCTCCTAATCTACATTTGTACGTCAGAAAGTACAACCTATTTTTAAGTTTTTAGGTTGGTAGTAAGTGCGATAAAGTTTGACAATAGACGTTAGGCAACATTTAAAACGTGAGTGGCGTGTTGTGCAAACAGGTGCATTTTAGGTTATGTGATATATTTTACGTTTTCTTGTAAATCTACTAAAATTAGAAGTTTTATGATTTGCTATTGGTAAGTACATGTTTCAACGTTGGAGTTCCATAATAATTTATATTGCTTTATATAATACAAAGTCCACAGATGTAGTTTGAATTAGTATGTACATTACCATGTACAAACGCAGTTTGTGGACAATATATTATTAGACCATGTTTTTGCAAAAGTTATAAATTTTATTTCTATTTGGTATTAGTAGTGTCGGTATGGTGGAGACGCGAGACAATAAATTGTTGAGGGAGGGGCACCCCTAAAAATTGACTAAATGTAGTTTTCAAATTTTTAATTTTTTTTGTTTTATATGGATATTTACTAATGTTTGTCCTTCATGCGTTTGTTTTTGTTTTTTAGATAATGGCAAACGCAAGAAAAAATTCAAAAAGAAAGCTAACCCAAGAAGAACTTCTTTATTATCTCGAGAACGATGATGTTTCAGATATTGAGTACCTGTCAGATGATGATGATGGTTGGGAGTCAGACGAAATATCTAGAGAACAAAGAAATAATGACATTCTAGATGTAACTATAGATAAAAATAATGGAAAGGAAAATGAGCCTGAAAACAGCGACGTTGAAGATGTAGATTTGGCAGATGAAGAAGAAAGGTTGGTGCTAACTGTAAGTGGTGAAAATATGGGGGAAAATGACAAAGATGAGATGAAAAGGAACCAAACAAATTTTGAGAAAGAACATGGTCTTACTGACAAATCAAAAATAAATTGGATACAAGGGGAAAATGTACAATACGAAACAAGAAATATTCATTGGCATTCAACCGTTCCGACTACCCCTGTTGTAGATTTGCCACCACCAGTTGAATTTTTTACCAAATATGTTCCTGATGAGATACTACAACAAATGGCTGATATGACAAATTTATATGCTACACAAAAAAATATTGCTCGATTTCCACCTACAAACTTGGATGAAATCAAGACTTTTATTGGGGTCCATATTGTTATGGGAAACTTACAGTTTCCTAGAGTCTGCATGTATTGGCACCGTAGTATAGGAATACCATTAGTAAAAGATTCCCTAAGTCTGTCTAGATTCTACAAGTTGCGACAGACAATACATTTGGTCGATATTTTGAGTCGCAATGAAGACAACAAAGATAGGTAGGTATTTAGATAACAAATTTTGGTATTTTTTTTATATATAATAATTTATTAACAATCAGAATTTCATATTCTCAAAGTTAATTTGATAACAAGCACAATAACAAAAACTATAATATTGTACCCTAATATGGCGTTATGAGGTACATGACCCAGCGATTTCACCTCAGTTTCAGCGAAGATCTATGGGCCATAATCTTCGCAATCTTCTGTTGTTTATTGGCTGCAGTATGTAAATACCACGGGGCATTTGGTATGGTGCGTAGAATTTTTGATTGCGTTATTTGGATTATTTTTGTATTTGATTTGCTGGCACAACTCCATAGTTCGATTCCATATGTCCATATAGGTCTGATGACTGTTTTATAAATTAGCAGTTTGTTCTCAATAGAGAGTTGAGATTTTCTACCAATAAGCCAATTAATTTATTTCACTCTCAACTCAATTTGTTTTTTCTTCTTCAAAATTTGCTTCAACTTGCTTTATTTATATTGCTTTGTTACAGATTGTGGAAAGTCAGATGTCTGTACGAGTCAGTAAGAAAAAGATGCCAGCAGCTACCACTAGAAACTAACTTGTGTGTCGATGAGCAAATAGTCCCATTCAAGGGACAAATAAATATAAAACAATATATGAAAAACAAACCCAACAAATGGGGTATCAAAATCTACATCTTGGCTGGCCAGAGTGGACTGATATATGATTTCTTGATTTATCAAGGTTCAACAACGCCCATTAATCCCATTTACGTAAAATATGGATCGGCAGCTGCTGTAGTTATGCAACTTAGTGAAAGAATATCTGAGAAAAACCACGGCCTATTTTTTGACAATTTCTTTAGTACCTATAATTTGATCCAATATCTGGACTCCAAGTCTATATACTGTATAGGAACCATAAGAGTTAACCGGTTTGCCAATCCAAAGTTACCCAGCGATAAAGAAATGAAAACAAATGGGCGTGGTTTTGCTGCTACCGCAATTAGCAAGGACGGTATTGTCATCACAAAATGGTATGATAACAAGGCAGTACTGACAGCATCTAACTTCGTTGGAATTGGAGAGTTGGATGAATGTAAAAGATGGGACAAAACAAGAAAAGAATATGTGCAGATTCCCAGGCCTGAAGCTATAAGACGATACAACAGTAATATGGGCGGCGTCGACAAGTTGGACTTCTTACTAAGTCTATACCGATCCTATGTCAGATCAAAGAAATGGACTGTGAGAATGATCACTCATGCCATTGATTTAGCCCTGGTAAATTCATGGCTTGAGTATCGCACTCAAGCTATTCTTTTGGGAGTAAACAAGAGGGAAATTCTTGATTTGTTAGCTTTTCGCCAAGAAGTGGCCGAAAATCTAACCTGCAGTAGACATGCTCCTAAAAGAGGCAGGCCTTCAAAAAGCTTCGAGGATCCAGGTCCCTCCAAAAAGAAAAAAACTGAAATAAGGCCTCTAAAAGACCTTAGATTTGATGGATACCATCATCTTCCACAGTATGATGATAAAAAGGAAGCCTCAAGATGCAAAAATGAGGGGTGTAAGAGCAGGACACATATATTTTGTCAAACATGCAAAGTTCATTTATGTATTTTAAAGGAAAGGAATTGTTTTTCCACATTTCATACAAAGTAAATGTTATAATTTATATTACTTTTGACAATGATCTGATTTATAAGAGTTTCTAATAAAAAATTAACACTCAATGGTTTTTTTTATTTCCATGAACTTTGTTTGTACATTGTGATGGACATCCTGTACTGGAAGGGTGGGGGTAGTTAAATTCTTTTTATGTAAAAAAAAATAATCTATAGTGCAACAGTACTTTGTATACCAAAAATTAGAATTTTGTAATCACTCTAAAGGGAAGTGATAGTGAAAGGGTTAATGCAGCATCTTTGGTTCCCTGTATGAGAGCTATACAATCATTAATATATCTTGACCAAAAAACTATTTTGTTGTTGTTTTTAACAAATTTCTGTTCTAAGCTATCTAAGAAACTCTCAGCTAAAAAAAGGATTTTTGACTTTTACTAATATGTTGCAATTGTTTAAAAGGTTGTGTACTAAAGGTAAAGTTCCATCTCTTGGTACAGAAGTAAACACATTGGTAATATCAAAAGAAACTAAATTAAAACTCTCCTCTATTTTAATGTTATTTAAACGATTTATTAGATCTAAAGAAATTGTAATAGAAAACTTAGGTTTAAAATTAGTGTAGACTGAATTGTGTTGTAAACAAACTCTAATAATATAGAAACTGGAGTGTTGGAAAATCACAGCAGGCCTTATGGGACAATTATGTTTTTGGATCTTAGGAAGTCCATATACCTAGATGTTATAGGATTAGATACAGTTAACTTTCTGTAATTTTATATTCCGTAATAGTATCATTCAACAATTTAACCATTGCTTTTGTTGTTTTAATAATAAAGGTGTTAACGGGTTTTTTTATTACAAAACTGTTATGTGAAAGGAAATATTCTAATTTCTCTATGTATTGATTTTGTTCTAGGACTATAACACAATTTCTCTTATCAACCTTACTAAATACCTACTAGATCTACTAAAATCTCTACCGATTTTTTGTTTAATTTATTTTAGCAAATCATTTTGTTTTTTAAAAGACTGGTGAATTCTATAAAAACTACGTTTGTACTTACACTGTTGTTGAAGTAAGCTAATGCAATAGTTTCTCAAATATGCTATGACAACCATTACTTGTCATAGCTTCTACATACATATTTACCAATTACATATTACTTTTTTAATTTTCACTTATTAACAATATGTTATTATAAACTAAGTATACAAAATATGAAATGATTTAGTTTTTAAATTTAAAATTAAAAAAAAGTTAAATTTGAATACTTTGGTATTGCCTAAATTGTTACACTCTCACTCTCTAAAATTCACCCATCCCAGATACCTCCTTTATCAAAAGGATTGAGCTCTGGTGTGACTCTTTCCGTGATATCGTACCCCAGGTGATCTGTTATGCCGTTCCAAAGAAACATTTGGAGTTTGTTCCAAAAATTTTCGTGGACATCTGGACGGCGAGAATAGTACCTACAGCTTTCGGCATGATCTTATAGAGATGTTCATTAAGGTCTAGTTTTTTTATGTTTTGTAGAAGATTCTTCGGATTGATCCCAGTTGTAGAGAGTATGATACACCGGGTATTGTCTACGTACATTCCATTCTTCATTGTCTTCTCATTTAAATTACCAGGTTTCTGAAGATTAAGCCATATGGCTCACTACAATTTATTATAAAAATATAAAAAATAAATGTATAAAAGTATTAAATTTTAATTACTTATAAAATCAATTAATTAATAAAAAAATAGTCTTACTATTATTATTATTATTATTATTATCTAGAAATTTAGCTAATGGGTCCCCTTCTAAACAATGCTGGATCCGCCGCTGAATAATAAGTGTCAAAAAAAGGACTAGGTTAAATTTTAAGCAGCTTATAAGAACGGCTAAAAATAGAGAAATTTTGGAATTGTAGTAGCGAACCTCCATTAAGGAGAGGGCACTTAAGAAGACTCAAACTTTTTTGGACAGCCGCATCTAAGATCAGAATAGACATGATTATTGCCAACCTGCACCGCGGACATAGCAGGTAAAGAAACAAGTGTTATTAAATACAAATTAGTATTTTAGCTCTTTATATTTAATCCTTAATATAAGAATATTATATATAATACTAATCCAACTTCGGAAGCCATCCTCGTTTATCACACTCCGCAGTAATCAAGCACACTTTTTCTTTGGCCAATTGAGTAATTCCTCTAATCATATTCCCTGGATTTCCACGCGTACTTTCATCTTCGCTTACTTTTTCAGCATTAATAAAAAAAGTCGTGTACAATACAGCATGACCGTACTCAAATTTAGAATGTATTCTGAGTTCTTCTAACAAACTTTCTAAAGTGTAAAGTTTCGTATCGCAACCAAATTCTTGCAGGCATTTAACAAAATGTTCATGATAATGTTTAATAAGTTCATCTAAATGTTCTTTAATTACATATCCTTGAAGGCTTGTTAAAAAGAAAAACAGAATATCAGATGCTGGTGATCCATAGTTATAAACTTGGAAATCGACTAATTTATTACCAACTGACTTTCCGTCTTTAAGGTTAACCATAATGTTGTTTATCCATAAATCAAAATGAATTAAAGTTCCATACGCGTCACTGATGGGCTGCATATTGTCCACATTAAGAAAAAGAATCTTGTCGGCTAAATGCGAAATACTGCTACATTCTGAGATTATTTGTCTGGATGCCTCATTAAGTTTTGCATATCTTTTGGCGTCAGTGAAGACAGTATTGAAACACAGTTTTTTGATTTTTTCTTCAAATACATTTGGATGCTTAAATTTAAATGCTAGAGGTACTGCATGAAATTTCGCTAGATCTTCCAGAAATATTATGGCGTTTTTTAGATCAAATCCTTCTTTTTTGTTTAAATTTTTGTATCCTGGAAATTAAAGTAAAACATTAAAATAATTAATTAATAAACAAAATTTCTATTTAAGCAAAAAAAAAGTAAGCTGCTAGATTATACTGTTCTATACTTATATTATACAGATCACGACATCGTTTTATTGACCATACAACACAACGGAAATCGCTGTGACATGTTACACGTTTCTACCCATCGAGTTAGAATCTATGGAGAGGGCATCACGTGACTAAAAACGACCTCACTTCGGCCATATTGTTAATACTATTGTTAATATTGCTTTAACACTTTTGACAGATCGTATAAGTTTATTTACGTTTGTTGTTTTTTGAATATTTTAAGTTTTATAATACTTTTATAGAAACTGTAATAATATATTGTGATAGTGCATAATAATAGTTTCTTGTTCTCAACGTAGTTGCAGTAGCAGAAGCAATGCTAATAAAAAATCTTCAGGAATAACGTTGTACAAGTTAGTATATATCATAGTTTATTAAAAATGTATTGCACTTTTTAGATTATGATTAAATCTTCTAAATAACTAGCCATGTTTTTAAAGTAGTTTTAATATTATTGAGTCTGGCCATGATCCCACCGCTATATTGGTATTATCGTTAGCCACACCTACCTACGCCGTTTTTAATACACACGTTAATATGCTCATAGCTTCTCCATAGATACTAACTCGATGTTTCTACCCCTATATTCAATTCATAGTAGGTACGAATTGTCGTAATTGTCAGATTGATATTAGAAATGTCAAACGAAGTTCTGAACGAATAAACAAATAATTAATAAAATGCCTAATACGTTGTATACCGTCTAAGAAATAGTGCAACTTGTAACATGGTGCTTTCATGGTCATTCGATTCGCGAAGTAATTGATTTATTTATTGTTTCCTTCGTGTGCTGTAATAGTTAAAAATACCACTAAAAATTTTTAAACTTCGGGATCCATAAACAGTTGTCAAAAGTGTCATAAAGGTAATGAAACACGTTGTGGACCTGTCGATGAGCAGCGTCAAAACAGGGATATTGCTCGGGAAGTTAAAGTGAATACTCGAACTGTCCAGCGGGTTCTCAAAAGGAATAGGTATCACTGTTTTAAGATACAACAAATACAAGAACTGTTTCGAAAAGATAACTTTTGGCGGATGGAGTTTTATGAATTTATGTTAGATAAACAGAATGAAAATATACATTTATAAAAAATATTTTATTTTTGACGAATCTTCATTTTCATTACATAAAAAAAAACAATCCATCCGTTGCAAGGTATTATTCTCGAAAAAATAAGCACCTCAGGTGTTATATTGCGAACACAGTATCCGCAAAAGTTAAATGATTGGACTGGGATGGTAGGCGACCATGTTTTCGGTCCATTTTTTATTGATGGAAACCTAAACGGGCCCAAATATTTACAACTTTTACAGAATTAGATCATTCCAGCAGTTCGACGCCTTTCCGTTAATTTTCAGGAGGTTTATTTCCAACAGGATGGGTGTTCGGCGCACTACTCTAAAGCAACTAACGATTTCTTTTTTTGGGGTTTTCTCAAAGGAAACTGTTATAGGCATCAGTTTAAGAATAAAAGAAAATATGGGGAGAAATCTGTATGACAGATTTGGTTACTGTTTAGCACAAGGAGGTGGAATATTTGAGCCCTTGATATGAACTAAGCCCGAAATTGAACAATCGTAGCATTGTATTATAAACTGTACAATGTACGAAATTATTAAAATTAAAAATGGTTATTGACAAGCAACACACTAAATCAAAAATCAAATATTTCTTGTTAATTATTTGACATTTTTATATTTTAATTAAATAGAAATGACTTATTTATGAGAAGCTTCATTTTTTTTTCAAATTCTCGTTTAACTCAGAAAATGATAACCCATATATTCGCACATCGTTTATTCATGAAAAGCCGTATGTCTTGTTATTCCTTTAATAGTTATTTTAATTTAAAATTATTTTTTATTTATAAAAGGTTTCATGTCATTGACAAATGGCTTTTCATAAATAAAAGCACTATTGGCAACAGTGCACGGCCAGCTGATTATTGCCTGATGTTCACTGTTTGGAGATTATTTAACCTCTTGTTGTTTTAAGTTATAATCAACTATTAAATAATAATAAAGTGAAATAGTGCTTTTAAGTTCTTGTTAAAGGGATTTAACTTATGTTTTGAAATAATCTCAGAGAAAGAAAGTGTTGTTGAAATAGAAGCAGATAACAAGAAGCGAAATAGAAGTCTTCGTTACCCTGAAGAATATATGGTTAATCGAATTAAGAAAGCTAGATGTAGTGGTGACAGATATATAAATTACAGAGGAAATGTTGTCGAACCACGCAAAATAGAATTATCATACTTGTAAGTTACGTTTTATCGTATAGTGGACTATTTCAAATAGTACCTAGCCGTAAAAATCATTGATTTGACGATGAATGCAAGAATGCAACATAGGAAAAAAATAAAGCCTACAGAAACATGCTTACCTGACGAACTAGAAAAACTGTAGAGAATTTCCAGACAAAGAGAAGAGAAGAAAAGGAAATTCACAAATGGCATAAACGAAACCACTTAAATGAGGAACTAAATATATAAAAACCTTAACAGTGGAAGAGAATTTAGAGCATTGTATATACAATAGCACTAAAGGCCTTAGAGGCCCATGGCTTAAAGAATTTTGTTCTTTCTTCATTTTCGCTTTCCTTTATGTACTGAGATCTTCTCTGGCTCGATATGTGACTTTTCTCCATTCCTTCTTGTTATTCATTTTTATTTTCTGGCCGTCTAGTCCAATTTCTTCCATATCCAGAGCATTGTATAAGAGAGTTAATATCAACAGAAAATATTTGAAGATTATCGCAAAAAAATGCAAAAGTTAGAATGACGACGTATTAACAACAAGAAGAGATTTAATAAATATATGATAGAATATGATGATAGAATAGAAGAAAACCTGGAAGGCGAAAGAGATAAGGTAAGGGAAACAGATAAAAGGGAACAAAAACTACCAACGATTCTCGAAGTTAAAGATGCAGTTAAAAAAAAGCCAGAAACAAACCAATCGGAACAGATAATATAATCTCCAACCTAAACTATACAAAGAAGGTGGCCATAATACCATAGTGGCATCACAGCAGTTTATAAAAGAAATCGCGATACAGAAATCCCTCCCTAACGATCGAAATATTGGAATACTTTGCACCATACACAAAAAAGAAGATATCTTTAAATGCTCTAATCACAGACGAATTACGCTTCTAAATACAGCCTATAAAATATTTTTCACAGTACTATATCACCGTATGGCACCATATGCACAACGGTTAGTGGAAAAATACCAGGCTGGTTTCAGAGCTAGTAAATCGACAATTCATCAGATTGCAACCCTGAAACAAATTCTAGAAACAACACTGTAATATGGCATTGATGCTCACCACATATCTATGTATATACTACAAAGCAGCCTACGACTCTATGAATGGAAGAGAAATGTTCAAAGCAATAAAAGAACTAGGAATACCAAATCAGTTGGTACCTACTAAGATAAATCTGTGGAGCAGTGAATGACAATGGAGTGTAAAGAAGGCGATACAACTTCAAAGTTTATGGAATATACCAGGAACCTAATATCGTAAAACATTAAAACAGGATGTCTGAGGTGAATAGGAAATGCAATGCATATGGAACCGAATGACCCAGCTAGACAAACACTCCTTGATAGACCCATTCGTCAGAGAAGAAGAGAAATACTCAAAACAAGGTTCCTTTATAACATTGATAAAGACATGCGAAATATGGGAATCCGTGCTTGGCAGAGGAAGGAAATGGATATGGACTACTGAAGAGGAATTCTTGAGGAGGCTAGAAACCACGTAAGGTTGTAAAACCAGGCGTGGATTACACTATTCAGTACTATTTCAGGCCCGAAATAAGATAATAAATTAGAATTCAATTGTAAAACCGAGCTTAGTTCCAAAATAGTAACCTATTTCATATGTTGCAGGTACAGATTAAGATCTTACAAGAAGTTATGAAAGGACGACCAAGCTGAAAGTTTATGTAGAAGGGGAAACTTTTCAAAGTCAGAATTAATACAAATCACTTACGAAGATGAAGAGGTTAGTTTTAAGCCCAAAGATTGTGTTTAGCATAAAAGTTGTTTTAAATTCCATACCCTGGTTCGTGAGAAAAGGATCAACATTTGCAAAAAGGCTTTTTTTAGTCTGCACTTTATTGGTGAAGAAATAGTAAAAAGACTGCAAGATCTTCTTGACAAAAGTGAGTCTCTTAGACATTTAACAGGCCAACAGATGAAGCGGAAGACCCTTCCACAAGTTTATATTAATCCTGTAAATCAGCACATTTAGTAATTTTTACTGAAAACCAGTCACTATTCATCTAAGAAAATAAAATACTTATATGCTAAGCTGGACATAAAAATATTCAATTTGTTTCAAGAGAAATGTAACGAGTTGAACGTAGAGTATAATTTTTACTATAAATGCTTCATTACTATAAAAGACATTACACTTTTAGATTTGGAAGGTCCCAAATTAACAATTGTTGTAAACGTGAACTGCCCAATACTTGAATAAAGGCAGTTGATTAAAACAGCGAAACGAGTTGTAGTTGTGCAGCAGCTACTTGTGCATAAAAGGTATAGAAAACAGGTTGGTTCATTCATTCGACAGATGAAAGAATACTGTGCCGCATATTAAAGTGCGGTGCTTTTATGTTTTAATTAAATAACAAACATATCGCTTCCTGCGATTCCATTACCTTTAACGACTGTCCGTCTATCAGTTTGGCATCCACAATAATAATAATAATGACACTGCAATATTTTACTTATTCCTGCTTACTTTGGCAGACATGGCTGCCAACAATTTATTAAAGGAAAACTGCTTAGTTTCGGATATAAGGTTTGGTTTTTATGCACGCTATCTCGTTACCTTGGTAATTTCGAAATATATCAGTGTAAAAACTGCACATCGAACCCAAACTATAAAGAACTATTTGGTAAATGCGCTGCACCACTGGTATGTATGATTAATGACTTTACACCTGATGTTCAACAACTGCCGTTATCACTGTATTTTGATGGCCTCTTTACTGGATTTCCTTTACTGCCGTATTTAAAATCTAGGGGTTACACGGCTACTGGTACTATTCGCGAAAACAGAATCCCAAAGACCTGTCCACTACCTTCTTAAGAAAAACTTAAGAAAAAAACGAGAGGTTTTGCCGTTTCCACCAAAACAAAAGATAGTGATATTGTTTTAACAAAATGGGTTGACAATTCCGAGGTATGTACTGCATCAACTGCTTTTTTCCTGAACCCTGTTTCTAAAGTGCAACTCTATTCCAAACACGAGAAGTAGCAAATCAATGTTACACGTCCTTGTGCTATAAAACAATACAACCACTATATGGGATGAGTTGATCGTATGGATCAAAATCGTATTGGAATGGTGGAGTTCTATATTCACGTGGCTGATCGATCCTTGCGTGAAGAATGCTTGGCAATTGCATAGACGTGCATATCCCACAATGTCTCAACAAGAATTTAGACGCCATATTGCCACTTATTATTGCAAGAATTAGGAAGAACCTCCTAAACGACCGGGCCTTCCCGGAAATGAACAAGTGAAGGTTCGCCTTATGAAACCATTGGCTTGTGCCACTCGAAAACGAAAGGAGGTGTGCTGGGGATTCCTGTAAAACTATTGCTCGTACTTGCTGTAAAAAATGTGGAATCTGTGTTTTCATTAAATGCTTCGTAAATTATCATACCGAAATGTAAAATACCTTTTAATTAAAGTATTGTCGTATAATGGTTGGACTTTTATTAAAAAACGAGAAACTTGCGGTATTGTGTCTTGAACATGTCTTGAACAAAAAATCGTTTTTCAAATAAATAAATAATTATTGAAATTGAGTTGTTTAATTAGCATAATTATTGTTATGTTTTACAAAAAACCCTAGAAATTTTAAAAAAATTCAGGGACATATCGAGTTAATTTAAAACGTAGCTATTAATATTTTTTTCCAATCCAGGAATAATACAAACAGATAAATTCTTAGCACTTCTGTCTTCTCACATAAAATGTATCACTCTTCTCTATACCTAACCAGAGACTATACAAGAATTATAATAATACTTAAATTAAAACTGTACATATATACTTACCCATAACAGCTAAATTTTCCAAAACTAATACAGCGTCTTCATCAATCATGTCATCATTTTCTTTTAGATTATATCGGGAGGCATAATACTTTGGAAAAAAGTCCAGTCTCTTCTTAGCAAATTCTTCTAGAATGGGAACGATAGTTTTGTACAACTCAACCTCCTTTCTATATGTCACCTGTATATTAAATATATTTTGATATAAAACACTTTGTGGAATTTTTTTTGCTACTAGGTTTAAAATTTTGTATTTTAAAGTTACATCTACTTTTAGCATTAAACTACCAAAATTTTCTCCTGGGGCTGTAAGTGATGTTATATCTACATTTCGAACTTCATCTTTTATGCCCAACAGCTCTTTTAAATCGCATATTTCGCTCATTGTCACTGTTAACAATTTTGTTCAAGGTTGATAAATAAATCGAATTCGTTTATGCAACTGTTGAATTAGATAGCGGTAAGATAAATATAGAGAATGAATTCGTAATATCATTATTTAAACGAGTATTTCTGATAACAAATTTATTTAAATAATCAACGCGTGTTTTTGGGATAGATTGGTGTAATTTGGTGAGTGGATGTATTTAATTATATGATAAAATCAATTTTTGTTCATATTTTACGCATCCTAATCAAAGAATATGAGATAAGCACACGACACATTTCAAGTGATTCTATTATGTGTACACAAGGTAAGTGGTGATAATGATTTATCATCATTATTAAGGTATTTAAAAATGCAGTAACTGTGTAAACTTCGTCTTGAATTAAAAACAATATGATTTAAAAGTATTTAAAAATAGAAAGGCAAAACACTTAAAGAAACCAAAAAAGAAGAAGTCAATGTTATTTTAGGTAACATTAATAATCCAAAACTAGTAAAAGAAACAGACAGAGAAGTAGTAGGGGAAAATGAAACGGGATTACGTAATGAAAGAAGAGAGGGGCTAGTCCAATTTTACAAGGACAACAGACTTATAGTGCAGAATACATGCTACAAACTGGTAGTTCGCAGAATATACACCTGGAAGGCCCCTAGAGATGACAGTGAAAACATAGTACAGAAACCGATGGTAAAATGAATATAAACCTAATCTACGTAACACCTATAGTATCGACTAAAGCTTAACCTGGGGAAGATGGGCAGATATAGAAAGTCACCCCAAAAATAATTACACAGTGAAGGTCAAGAACTTAAAAGACAAAGACACCTTAACGCAACAGAAAAATTTAAAAATAAACAGAAAAGATCTTGAGGGACATCATACAACAATAACTTGACTAGAAGAAAATAGATCCACAATAAACAAATAATGGATAACATAAAAAATAAAGGCATTGCTACCGGAAAGGAGGAAATGCCAGAATAAAATCACAATCTAACGGAAAATCAAAGAAACGAAGAAATTATGGGTATCAGAAAAATGTGGAGAAAGAGAAAAATTAGAAAAACTACATAAAAACTTGAACACACATGCAAAAAAAGTTGAAGTTTGTCGACAATTGCAAACTGAAGAGTGAACAATTTCACTAGAAGAAATTGAAGCGTTTGTTGGGCTTTTGTATGCTCGTGGAATTTTAGGGTAAAAACCAGTTTTAGTCTGAAGAGCTTGTGGTCAACAAAGTGGGGACCTCCAATTTTTTTAAAACAATATCTCGAGATGGATTTTTACAACTAATGCGATTTATACGTTTTGACATTAGGTGAACCAGACGCCAAAGATGCCAGGACAATAAATTTTGTCTAATTTCAGAGGTTTGGGAGCGATTTATTTCAAATTGTTAATCATGTTTTATACCTAATAAAAACAATTGATGAACAACTTTTTTCAATAAAGGCGAGGTGCAGATTTACAAAATTCATGGCTAACAAATCCGGCATGAAGTTCTGGCTGGCTTTAGATATCATCATCATCATCAACTAGCCTCTAACGTCCACTGCTGAACATAGGCATCTCGCATGCTTTTCCACTTAGTCCGATTTTGCGCCATCTGTATCCAATTTGTAGTCACTCTTTTTATGTCATCTGTTCATCTCGTTGGGGATCGACCTCTATTTCTGTAAGCTTGTATTCGGGGTCTCCATTCCAAAATTCTTTTGGTCCACCGGTCATCAACTGATCTTGCTACATGACCTGCCCAGTTCCACTTTAGTGATGTTATCCTTTCAATAACGTCTGCTACTTCTGATCTTATGCGTATAGTAGCATTGGGTATTCTATCACGTAGAAAAATCCCTAACATAATTCTCTCCATTGCTCTTTCCGCAACTTGTAGTTTACTCACTGTTGTTCTTATGAGCGTTAGGGTTTCTGCGATGTAGGTCATCACAGGATATAGATATAGATTGTCGATATCTCCTTAATAGTTTTCCGTATTTAGGAAAAGATGATACTCATCCCTCAAGTAAAAGACTTTCTGACCATGTAGTGTTAAAGCTGATGAACCCTACCTGAAAAAACGACAAAATGGAACAACTGATAATTTTTTTCACTTCTATACATCTTGCTCAAGAGCTTGAATAAATCAAACAACAATTGTAGAAACAGTCTATGGAATTCGAAGATAAATCTTTAAAAAATAGGAAGAGTAAGCTGTTTTAACATGTCACTCGTCAGTAGCAGTCGAATAAGCAGGAAAGAAAAAGCCAGAAATTATAAAATTTTATAATTAAACTAAATTTGTCGATGTTGTCGATCAAATGACAAAGAAGTACCTGGTAAGATCAACTTTAAGACGGTGGCCGTTGCAAGCTTTTTATAATGTATTTAATTTGGCTGCGATCAGTGCCAGGTTTCTTTACAAAGCTGTGACGGACAAGAACATTTGACGTCGCCAATTTATCTTGGATCTCATAGAAGAATCAACTTTGGATCTAACGAACAGAACTTAATCGGCAAATCAAGGAAACATTTTGAGCATCCAATTCTAGAGAAAAGAGGAAGAGAGAAAGAAAAAAATGCAAAATATCATCTTGTTATATCAAAAACCAGTGATTTATGTGACAGCTGTAAAAAAAGAATTTGTGGTAAGTGTCCAAGAACAGAAACAATTATTGTATGTAATCAATGCTTACAGTGCATGTAAATAATATTTTTTATAAATAAAATGTTTATTTGGAATCAAATGTATTTTTTTAATAAATGTGTTTCTCAATAAGTTTTTAGTTAAGCCGGATTTATAAACGGACATAAACATAATTTTAGTATTTAACCATAATCTTATTATATAAGCATAATGTTGAAAGTTAATAAATAAATGTACCCATTTAAAAGCATTCATAATACATAAAACATAAATTTAGTCCTTAAAACGTGACCTTCAAAGTTGGTAACTTTCAACATTTATGAATTAAGAATTAAACATTATGGAATTGTTGGAATATGCGCATGTGTAATCCAACTTAAAAAATTAAAGAACTGTTCCTCATCCCATTCTTTATCACGCTTTCTATTTATGGGTCTTATACTATACCTTTTTACTCTTCTTTGCTTGTTAAGAACTCTGGCAGATATAGTCGCTACAATTGTTAAATAAAGTGGAACTGCTGCCATGACCAAAGCAACTTTTCTATTAATCTTCATATTTATTTAAAATTATTTTACTTTTCTATGAATCTAAAGACCAGAAAAAATTCTTCAAGATCTATAAAAATTTGGTTAGGTTTGTATTTTCTGAAGTAGTTTTTAAATATTATGGTTAGGTATTATGTCTAGTTATAAACCAATCTTAAATCTTGTGAATTATGATTGTGGTTAAAGTTATGTTTATGACTTATGATTATGTACTATGTCCGTTTATAAACCTGTTTTTAATTACAACACCCGAAAGCAAGAAATGGCCAAATTGACATCCGTCGTCCATGCAGGTAGGATGTAGTGTTAAAATTGCATAAAATAATTTAATTATTTATTTATTTTAATTATTATATTTTAAACAAATTATGTTAAATTGAGTTAATTTAATAAATTATTATGTACGCTCCTAATGCCACCTGCTAACATATTAACAAAGCATACGTTGTTTACTTCTGACAGACCTGTCAAATTTAGACAGAATATTAAATTAATAATAAAATAAAAATAAATATCATTTGACTGTAAATTTAATTATTATGTAAAATAAATGAGATGTTTAAAAATAATAATTGTATTTATATACATAATTTTAAAACGAGCAGTGTCATAAAAATTTAACCTAATGTTTCAATGTTAATATTAATTAATGATTTGTAAATTTTGATAATCGTTACGAATCGAAGTTTTTATTGACAGATGTTTTTTTAATTTTTTACTTATTTAATATCTTTATTTTGTTAGCTATTTTTTATGCAGTTTTTAGTTTAAACCTGCTTGGTCAATCACTACAAACGAATTGATCAAGGGTATTGAATCGATATGAAGAACCGCTATTTAGTGACGCCTTTTCATGGCTTTAAGGTGGAAATACATCATTCAATTCAGTTGAACAATGTGGATAATTCAATTACATTGTTCAATCAAATTGAAAAGCATACATATAAATGCTTCAATTTGTTCTTCATTCAATTCGGTTAAACAATGTGGATGATGGTTCAATGACAACTTAAAATTATAAGAAATCATTTGCAAACATATAAAATACATGATGATTTTACTAAAATCTCAGTACATTACAGCGAATAATAATACAAAAGACATAAAAATCATTACAATGCTGAGATGAAAAGAACGAAAAAGCTGGCATATTGTCAATTGATATTAACTTCAGAGAATAGATCCAAGACGTGTTGGAAGGTAATTAACTATAAGCGAAATAAAACAAATGGTTTACATATTTCAACTTCAACAACCAACATATCTTGTGACTCTATCAATAACATTTTTGTTGAAATTGCTGAAAATATTCTAAAATCCCTTCCAAATACACCAGACAATACAATTAAGAACTATGAAAAATTTTAAGCTCCATCAAATTCATTATTTCCTTCTTCAACCAATAAACAAGAAGTATCCAAAATTATAAAAATGTTAAAAAATTCAAATTGTTTGGATACTAATGAGACAAATGCATCTTTTATCAAAACCTACTTTTTATATCACAAGTCAAAAGGAAATAAACGGTTGAATCGAATACAATCAACAAAACTTGTATAGATGCGTCAATGTGGATTAATCATCCCAGTTGTACAACAAAGTTGAACAAAAGTAGAAATTGGTTTGACTCATTTCAACGTTCAATTTGGTTAAACGCTTTTATTGAATTGCAAAATACATGGTTTATTTTGGTTGAATCATCCACATTGTTCAACCGAATTTAATGGTGTATTTCCTCCTTTAGTTTTGTGACGTTGGCTTCAGCATTATACTATAGAGAAAAATGTAACAAAACGTCAGTAAGGTCAATCCAAATAACATTGCCACATCTTTTCAAAATATTTCTTTTTCTCGCATATGACTTTCCTTAGAAATTTGAATATAGGCGTATTGTTAGGATGCTATTGTAGGAGTAAATCGGGAGTAGAAGTTTTATAGTTTCAAAATGTTGATACAGTTTTTTATTTTTGTAAATGTGCCAGATGTTAATGTTATCCACAATCTAAGAAAACATTGATACCCCATATGTTAGGAGCCAATATTCACTAAGGGTCGAGTAACATTTACAAAGATAAGTTAATTATGCACTCTTTTTGGTACAAAATTATTCAAAATCCAAAAAAATCGGAAATAACAAGAATCAAAGTTAACAAAAAATAGTGATCTCTTCTATTGACGCAAAATCTAAATTAAATATGTACATCCCACTCTTACTATATCTTTTATCAAAACTCTGGCTTCGTCATCAACGGTAGGAAATACAAAATATTTTTCTTTTTTTTTTTTTTCAGGAAAGTCTCTGCTATTTCAATACCTTCAGAAAAAATCTGTTACTTTTCTAAAGTAATGATGGATTTCATTACTACGCTTCATCATCATCAATGGTACTACAGCCCTATGAAAGAACCCCGACCCTCCCAAGTCTATTACGCCAGGCAGTCCTATCCATTGCCAACCGTTGACAGTTTGGTGCGCCTATCTTTTTACCATCCTCATCTACACCATCCTTCCATCTGAGTTTTGGTCTATCCCTTTTTCTACTTCCCACGGGTTGTGACATGAGGATTCTTCTAGTAGGGTTGTTCTGCTGTGATCTTGCTAGATGTCCTGCCCATCTTAGTCTTCCTATTCTTATAAGAGATACTACGTCTATACCACCAAATATTTGTTTATATCTGTGGTATACCTCGTAGTTGTATCTCCTCCTCCAAACACCATTTTCACAGATGCCACCAAATATTCCCCTCAGGATCCTTCGTTCAAATATAAGCAGAAGGTCTTCGTCTGCCTTGGAGATGGTCCATGTCTCCGATCCATATGTCAATACTGGCTGTATAAGGGCTTGTAGGTATATGGTTATTTTTGTTTTTTGGCTTAAGTTTCTACTTTTCATATGTCTACTCAGTCCAAAATATCTTCTGTTTGCCATTATTATCCTTCGCTTGATTTCTTCCGTTATGGCGTTCTCTTTGGTGATCAGGGAGCCTAAGTATGTAAATTTTGATTTTGAGGCATTTGATAAGGTGGTATACATTTCTTCTAGCTTGCGTGTTGTGCGGGCAACTAGATCCACATGATCTGCATATGCCAAAATTTGGAAAGATTTATTAAAAATATTTCCTCTGTTGTCTATTCGGGCATCTCTGATCGCCTTTTTTAGTGCTATGTTAAAAAGGAGACAGGCCAGCGCGTCTCCCTGTCGCAGCCCAACATGGGTTCCAAACGCCTGTGATTGTTCGCTCTGTATTTCGACTTTGCAAACCACATTACGCATTGTAGCCTTAACCAATCTTATTAGTTTATCGGAAATGTGTAATTCATTCATGACTTCATACAATTTATTTCTTAGAACACTATCATAGGCAGATTTGAAGTCTACAAAAAGATGGTATGTATCGATATTGAATTCATTGGTTTTTTCCAGTATTTACCTTAGCACAAAGATCTGATCGGTTGTTGATCGACCAGGCCTAAAACCACTTTGATATTCACCGAGAAGCTCCTCTGAATATGCATTTAGGCGACCATATAAGATCCTCGAAAATATTTTGTATGCTGTATTAAGGAGGATTATTTCCCTATAGTTTCTACATTCCAATTGGTCAACCTTTTTTTGTAGCGGGCAAACGATTCCAATACACCACTCTTCCGGGATTTGTTCCTCATTCCAGGCTCTCAGTACTATTTTATATATTTGATTAGTCACAGTAGCACCTCCACATTTAATAAGTTGCGCGGGTATACCATCACTTCCTGGAGATTTATTGTTTTTCAGGTGTTTTATTGCATCTCGTACTTCTTGAATTAACGGAGGCTCTAATGGTGAATTGTTGCTTGCTCCTGTGGGTGGTTGATTTGGATCTGGATCTTCTACTTCTATAGTAAGTGTTCCACCCATCTTTTTAGTACTTCTTCTTTTGTATTTAGTATATGCCCCTCCTTATCCTTACATAGTCTGAGCCTTGGTTTGAATTCCTTTCTTGCATTATTCAGAGTTTTGTAGAATTTTCTTGTTTGGTATTCCGTTTTTAATACCTCAAGTTCTTCCAATATTCTATTTTCATGAGTTCGCTTTTTTCTTCTATGAATGCACTTCTCTTATTTTCTGAGATCTTTATATTTTTGCTGTTTTTCTCGGGTTCTTCTTTGCTGCATTAGTTTATATGCATCGTTCTTTTTTCTTGTAATGTCCTCACACTCAGCATCAAACTAGTGATTACGTGGTGGTGGTCTTTCTGGCCCTAGAATATTATTTGCTGCATCTTTAATATTATTTTTACACATTTCCCATTGTTTACTAATTGTTAGGTCCTCATAAATTATGTGTTTAGTTTCGATATAGTTTTGAAACCTTTCTACTCTTTGCGGATTTTTGAGGAGTTCAATATTGACACGCGTTGTTTTGGTACTTCTCTCCTTCTTCGCATTTGAGATTCTAGCTCGAATTCGTGTGCCAACTAGGAAGTGATCTGAATCAATATTGGCGCCTCGATAGGTGCGGACATCCATTAGGTTTAATCCATTACTACGCTTATCGACTCTAAATTTTACCACAACCCAAGAGTTAAACCCATTTTGAAATAAATAAAAAATTTAAAGCAAATAAACAAAATATTTAAAGCAAAACCCTAACAGATTATAAAATTTGGATGGAGAAAAGGATGAAGGACTTAAACGTCACTGTATATAAACAATAAAACTCTAGAATTCAAACAATAGTTTTATTTATAATCATATAAGATATAATTTTTCAATTATTAAAAACTTATAATGAAAGCTTTAATTAATTTAAACTATAAATGTTAAATATATTAAGAATAAATTTATTGTCACAAATATATCAAATAATTTATGTCAAATATCAATCATAACCAGCCTCGTTTTTCAAAATCTTCCAGTATAAACCACACCTTATCCTTGCCTTGTTGTGTAACGGTATCACCTAGCTTATCGCTTTCCTCTGGCAGTTTTAATTCTTCATCTCTTTTTTTGGCGGTTACGACAAACAAAATAAACTGTATGGCATGCCCTATTTCAAAGACACACTCGTTTTTGATCTCTTCTATAAAATTTGATAAACTAAATGGTGTACTATCACACTGTAATTCTTCCAAAGTTTGAACAAAATGTGTATAATAAAACTGAATTAGTTCATCGAAATGGTTAACTAAAATATTTGTTTCAGTACTGGTTAATACAAGAAATAGAAAGTCTGACGCTGGAGAACCATAAGATAGGAATTGAAAGTCAAGGAATTTATTTTCTATTGCTGTTCCACCTGGTCCGAATTTTTGCATGGAGTTATTGCACCATAAATCCGCGTGTACCAATGTCGCAAAAGGCTCCCGTACAGCAGGCCTTTCAACTTGTCCTATAAATTTGATTTTCTCAACTATTGGTGCCAACTTCGTATTTTCCAAAATAAGGCTTTTCGTTGGATTCCAGAATAAACTGTGAAACTGCGAGTTGAACACAAAATCGTTACAATATTTTTTGATATCTCGTTCAAATACTTCGGGTCGCTTAAGTTTTAGAGCTAAAGGTACTGCATGAAACTCAGCCAAGTCTTTTAAAATGAGTTTGATAGATTCTAGGTTAAAACCTTGTAATCTGTTTACATTAGTATATCCTGAAATAAAAAAATATATTAATACACTACATAAATTTAATGTAAACAATAAATAGAACATAAAAACGTGTTATTAGTGAATCAGCTAAATTTCTTAATGAAAAAAAAAAAAAAAAAATTGGTAGGTAGGAATTGAAGGTAACGAAGCTGTAGATAAACTAGCTAAAAACGCACCAACTAACCCGATGTCCAAAGAAAGTAACATATTGGTACAAAACGATTTAAAACCATATTTAAAACAAAAAATAATTCAAAAATGGCAACAAACTAGGAACAACACTCCATCAAGGAGTGATCAACAAACCAACAATAAAAGACAGAAGAAAGCAAGTGATAGTTACCGGTCTCCGTATCGGCCATACACGACTTACTCATGACTATTTATTACAGCGCAAAAACAAACCAGTGTGTGAAGTGTGCAACAGCGTTCTAACGGTAAAACATTTTTTAATACAGTGTCCCAAATGTAACAGTAAACGACTCAAATATAGCATACCCAACTCCCTAAGAGATGCCCTAGAAGAAAATACAAATAACCGAAAAATATTTTCCTATATTAAAGACTGTCAACTTCTTCAAAAGATCTAAAACGTACATTTTAACACACATACATATTATTATTATTATAATTGGGAAAAGGATGAAAATAGACATACTAGGAATCAGCAAAATGAGATGGCCAGAGTATCATGTAAAAAGGACGGAAGTGTATTATATTATTCCGGTAACAGCACAGAAGACCCGCATCACAAAAATGGTGTAGGTATTTTAGTAACATCAGAACTGAGTAAATATGTGACCAATTTCGTACCAGTCTCAGATAGAATTATAATACTCGAAATAAATACTCAACCATTTAAAACTAACATACTTCAAATCTATGCCCCGACTGCAGATAGAAAATATGACGATGAAGTCGAGAAGTTGTATGATCAGATCCAAGACATCTTACAGAAGCTTAATAAACACGAAATTTTATATATTATAGGCGACTTCAATCTAAAAATTGAAATATGTCGACGAGGTCAGACTGTAGGTCCTTATGGTTATGACAACCTAACGATCGAGGACAGAGATTGTATGATTTATGTAAAGAAAACGATATGATCATTGCAAACACCTGGTATAAACTATCCAAGCGACGGTTATACACTTGGAAAGCCCCATTTGATGATGGCAATAACCCTGAGTCTTCAAGAAATCTATACTTCAAGAAATACTATATACTTGTAAATGAGCGTTTCCGAAATGCCGTCAAAAAAGTCACTACATATCCTGGTACAGATATTGGATCTGATCATCAACCACTCGTAGCAGATATAATACTAAGGTTAAAACGAATTCAGGGACAAAAACCAAAAACCAATGTACCTACTTAACTTTGACAATATAAACATAAAACATAACATTAAAACAGAATTTAACAATAAAATAAAAAACATTGGAAAACAACTTAAGATGCAGAAAAACTAAGGAGTGAATTTAAAAACCAAGTTAACGAAATCTCTACAAATAATGATTACAGAAAAAACTTAATCAAGAAAAATAACTGTATGACAGACGACATCTTGAAATTAATGGAACAACGTCGACTGATAAAATCTAATATAACAGAATATAGACACCTGCAGAGAAGAATAAAAAAGAAGATCAAATTAGCCAAAGAAAAATGGATGAGAGAAAGGTGCGACGAAATGGAGGATGTAATATCTAAACACGACTTATTTCATGTGCACAAAAAACTGAAAGAAATGAGTAATATATTTAAAAAAAGAGTTCCCTCTGTACTTGTTGAGACTAATAACAAAATTATTGTAAATGAGCAAGAAATAAGAAAAGAATGACAGCTGTATATATCAGAGTTGTTTGAAGATGACCGGAATAATATTGCCGAATTCTACCAAAACTGTACTGACGGCCCAGAAATTATGAAATGCGAAGTAGAACATGCTGTAAATAATGTTAAAATTAAAAAAGCTTGTGGTGCAGATACACCAACTGAGTTGCTGAAACTGATAGAGAATGATAACATAGAAGTAGTAATAAGACTTAATTCAACATATAACACCGGAGTGATTCCCGCAGATTGGCTCAAATCCATCTTTATCGCTATACCTAAAAAACACAATGCGAGAAAATGCTCAGAATATCGATTAATTAGCCTAATGAGCCACACTCTTAAAATTTTCCTCAGAATTCTTCACAACAGAATTAGACGCAAATGAGAAGATGATCTTGAAGATACCCAATTTGGTTTTAGAAATGCTATGGGAACCAGGGAGGCACTTTTTGCGCTTAACATCCTATTACAGAAATGTTGTTACCAAAGAAAAGATATATTTGCATGTTTCGTGGACTTCGAAAAGGCATTCGATAAAGTACAGCATGTAAAATTAATGCAAATACTGAAAAATATCGGAATAGATTACAAGGATATTCGTGTCATTAAAAATTTGTACTGGAATGAAACTGCTATCGTAAATATTGGAGATAACTACACCGACGAAATTCTCATACAACGAGGAATCAGACAAGGTTGCATTTTGTCGCCAACATTGTTCAATGTTTACTCGGACCAGTTATTTAAAAAGGCACTTGGGAGACAACCATACGGAATAAAAATCAACGGGGAACTACTTAATATGATTAGATATGCAGACGATACGGTAATTCTATCAAATAATATTGAAGATCTTCAAACTCTGCTTATCATATCTGCTTATATCATATCAACTCTGCTATAATCATATTCACGAGGTAGGAGAGAAAATGGGCATTAAAATAAACTCAAACAAAACCATATTTTTGGTGTTTAGTCGTGACCCACATCCCGATGAAAAGCTTCAATTAAACGGAGTCCAAGTTGAGAGAGTTCACAAAATGACATATTTGGGAACTGTGATAACGGACTAACTAGATCCAGACATAAAAATAAGATGTAGAATAGCAATGACTAAAACTACTTTTATGAAAATGAAGTAATTTCTTTGCAATAACCATCTCACTTTAGAACTAAGGCAAAGAATGGTTAAGTGCTATATTTGGTCTGTACTTTTGTAAGTGCAGAAGTGTGGACGCTAAAAGTAAAATTTAAAAAAAAATTACTTATTATTATACATTATGAGACGATATTTTATGGAATGTATTGACAAATGAATTAAAAAACATGGTGGACATATTGAACACTTACTTTGACAAAAAGTTTAATGTTATTTAGTTTACCTTTTTTTAATTTGGTTTGTGAATTAAATTTTTTGAATATTACTTTAATTTAATACAAAACGTAAAATTTGTAATGTAAAATCCAATTATTCTGATATTTATCAAATCCTAGTATTTTATCCTTCTAATATATGTATTATATTTAATAATTCGTTAACTATTTACTTTATTAAAGGTATTTTATACTAAAATTCAGAAGTATTGATGTTTTTCTTTAATTTTGTTGTGAGAGTTGTGAAGATATTAAAAAGTATACCTTTTTTTTGTTAAATTAACGCATCTTTAATATTTTTTATTAAAAATACCGGTAACTTGAAGAGCAAAAAAGTTAAGTGCAAATGTTTGCCACATATGTGGCATATGTGGCGCCCTCTATCAGCTAAATCAAAGTATGTATTAAATTATAATTTATGATATTTAATAGTACCCAGTTGTAAATTTTTATACATAAATGTTTACAAACATGAAAATTATAGCGAAAAATAAAATTTTAAATTTCCACTTTAACACCCTGTATCTTTCTTAATATCAACATTTTCATAAAGCAACTTGACCTGAATCGTAATATGTATTTTAAAGTGTAGAGTCTACGGTTTGTTTTTGTACAATTACTTAATTATCACCCTGTATATCTAACTTTTTATATAGCTCTGTAATAAACTGTTAATTACTCTAGTGCGAAAATAAACTTTTTTAAACTGCTAAATCAAATTCTCACACAAATTAAATGGTTTAATTAGGTTATAATTTTAAATCGCAAAAATCGCAAAAATTCAAATAAAATAAGTAATTTCTTGCGTTTTAAATTTCATAAAAAACCAGATATTTCAATAAGAAAATTATCCCTAGCAGAAATAAAAAAGAAAAAAATTCGCCATGAAATTTTTATTAAGTGATAATATTAAGAACATATTATATTTTCACTATCTTTCATCAAAATTGAATATCAAATATCATTACAGAAATCAAAAATAAAAAATCGAAACCATCGAAAATAAAAGACAATTTTGTGCATTTTTCTCGGAATTTTTAAGGTTATGTTACAAATATAAATAAAAGTTATAAACTTTTATATTATCTTTTTATTTTATTAACTTTTCTGTTTTATTTTTTTTAATTCTATGCGTCTCTTTTATGTATCCTTTTTTAACCCTTTTTCCAAATCACCATCTAAAATTTTTATATATTTGTTTTATTTTCATTTTGTGTACTTTCCTTCCCCCCCTTAGCCCCTTACAACCTTTGCATCATAAAATTTTAGAAAACATCTAATTAAAACTAAGCTAATTTGACTGGTCTATATGTCCGAATACAAGCAAAAAGAAGAATCAAGAGTACACGTTTAAATCTTACCGTTAGCGAACAGATTTTCCAAAATAAGCACAGCATCAGCGTCGACTTTCTGACCACCGTCTAAATTAATCCTGGCACCATAAAATCTTGGAACACAATTGAACACGTTTTTCACACCGGATTCTTTTTGAAAACTTTGCAAAATTGGAACCACTGTCTGGTACATTGCCACCTCATTTTTGAATGTTACCTGTATATTAAAGTTCTCTCTGAATAACTCACTGGTTGGAATTTTCTTAGCTACCAAATGAAGATCAGTTTCCGAATTTTCATCAGATTTTAAAGTTACGTCAAGTTTTAACATAAGACTTCCATAATTCTCTCCTGGAGCCGTTAATCTGGTTATTTTCGTGTTAGTTATTTGTGATACACCTATAACAGACTTGAGAATACCGTTCAGATTTTTTATGCCATCTTTATCGTCTTCACTTGACATTTTTAGAAAAATATTTGTGAATGATTTATGGTTAAATGTTTAGTTCTAACAAAAAAATTATACAACTGTAAAACTAGGTTAATTATTATAGCAATTTTGTTGGCGTCTTTCCGAGGTCGAATGTCTGAATCTACGTCTCGTGTATTTTATAAGTAGTAGGGGTAATCTGCGAAAGGTTGAATTATCATAAGGAATGTGGTAATTCCTTAAGTATAAGATCGTCAAACATTTTTCTTACAACCATTTGTAATTGTTTTTCGAGAATATCGAGTGGGTGTTTAGCATAATGGGAATTTACTTTTTTTGGAAAAGCGATTTAATTGATCTATAATTTCTTTAATCCTAATTTACTTTAGGATATAAATAACATATTTAATTTAATTTCACTTTGATGGTGTATGCTTACTAGGGTGGAGCTCAAATTTATTTTTTTTTCTTAATTTCATTTTCGCGGTGTGCAGAATTTATACTAATTCCATTTTTGAATAAATAACTCTGACGACATTTGTTCGCATTTTCAGTATGAAAAGTGCCCCATCGTAATTTGTAATTTTGGAATTAAAAAAAAATATTTATCAATTACGGACGATACAGTATAGCTGCTTCGCTAAGATACTAATCATCAAAGTCAGGGGTCGTATTTTTGAATGTGTTCGAATTTATTCGCATGCGATTAGTTCGAACGAAAAAAAATCGTGCACGAACGTAAAAGCGTATTTTCGAACGCAATTCGAAAGTTTAATTCGCATACGAGAATCCGTTAACCCAAATTCACCGGCAACGCCGCAAATTCGCACGAAATTAAGAAAAGAAGAGGTAGAGGTGACAGGCGACATTTATTTAACTGACAAGTTTATTTTACTTGTTGCAGCAGACTTGAAGTTTTTTAGTTTTTTGTGATTTGCTCAATTTTCTACACAGTGTTAACGTGTTTTGGCTTGTGTTTTCGTACTTATCTGTTTTCTCTGTTTCCAATATGGACAATGAAAATAAAAATTCCATGTTCGGAGGATTTGTATCTTCCGAACAAAAAAAAGAACTGGTAGATTTTATGGAAGAAAATAGATTAGAAAACCTGCAAAAAATTATTGTAGGTAAACAATTTAATTACTCTCTATGTAAAATACTTGGCCCAGATGCTTATTCTTAAGGAACAAAGCGGAGGGTGCTTTGGGGAACATTTTCACAGTATACCTATGTCGAGTTAATTAAAAATATTTGTTATATTTACCTTTCTCGGTATGCTCAATGCAGATGCCCTAGATGGAGGTACCAAGTGGGGCTCCAAAAGTTCTATTAGTTCCTCTGCCAGAGGCTTTGTTAAACGGTATAATTTTACAAATTGTTCGTCTAAGGTTTCAAGAGCGTTTAATGCATGGTATACTCTATTCTCCACATTCGCTAACATTTCTGCACCTTCTAAGGCATTTAAAACATTTCTTTCAATTAAAAACTTTAGGCCGGCCATCTCACTTATGTAAACAATTAAAAACCAAACTAAATGCAAAAGTCAGAAATGTCAAACTCCGTGTGTTTACCGCTATTCGAATGGTGAATACCCACTCGAGCAGTCGTGTACGAAAATCGTCGTATACGATGCGTTCGAAATCAACTCGAAAATACGAATCATCGATTTTCGTTCGAAATTCATCATCTTTCGCATACGACTTCCGTTCGAACGGTTTCGAAAATACGGGCCCAGGCAAATATGCAGGCTAAAAAGTAAGATATATGCGCATATATATGCATATTATGTATGTCAAATATGCATGTATATGCATTTATTTATGTCAAATATACATGTATATGCATATATTTTTTGTGTCAAATATGCATGTATATGCATTATTTAAACAAAATGTGCACTTCATAAACCGTTTAAATATAATAACTTTATAAAATATTAGTTGAGTGCTTGATATTATAAAATAAAACAAACCTTTTAAGCAACTATTTTAATTAGATAAATATATATTATACATGACTATTTATTTAAAAAACAATATGTGATAATATGTTTTTCAAAATTTTCTAACAAAAAGTTTTGTCGCCTATCTGTATACATATGTTTGTATATAGAAAAGCTCCGTTCTACATCCACCGAAGTTATAGGAGCGTACTTAAAATTATTTAAAACTTCAGCCTCTATATTTAATGTTTCATCAAACACCCCACTTAAAACATTTGCAACCTTAGATAGAAATATGAAACCAGTATTTTTATCTATGACTGACTTAAATTTTGCTAAAATGTCTTTGCCAATTTGACCCTCAACAATTTTGCAAGATAGTTTAAATTTTTTTATTACTTTAACTGCTTCAATTAACGATAAATTCGTATCCTGTAGCTGAAGGATGCAACTTGGCACAAAATTATAGTTTGATTTTATGTATGAAAGTTGCTGTGGTAGTAATTTATTTTTCAGTAATTCTTTGGAAACTGTAAGTGCTTCGGAAGAATCGTCAGCTAATTCCATTATTACTGGCTTCAATTCAGAAAAATGTTCTGCATAAAACATTGCAGCCTCTAACCAAGTTCCTCATCTAGTAACAATAGGTTTTGGTGGAAGAGGAAGATTGGGCAAATGTTCTTTATACAACTGAGTTCTTATAGGTGACTTAAGAAATATTTTTTTCATATTTGAAATTAAATTATTAACAAGAGGAAATTTATTTCTAATGTCTTCTGCGACCTTATTTAAACCATGTGCTAGGCAAGTTGTATGTACTAAACGCGGATAAAAAATTTTCAAATTGTTTCCTACTTTAACCATGTAAGGCGCAGCATCTGAAAGAAATAGCAAAAATTTTTCATTGGGAACAGCTAAAGGAAGAAAAAAATTTGTTAAACTATCTTGCAAAAACCTTGTAAGTGCGTTGGTTTTATCCAACTGCTTGGAAGCAATTAAATGCGATTTACAAGCTTGTTCATTTTTAAAAGATCCAATTAATAAATGTGCGATATAACGTCCAGAAGAATCACTTGTTTCATCCACACATATATAAAAATAATTGTCTCCTATATCTAATTTTATTTTACTCAGTACAGCAGAATAAACAGAATCGACCTCGTTTCTTCTTAAGCTTCTTTCACTCGGAATATTCCATTTGCAGTATTTTCCAAGAAACATGCGCAAATTTTCGTTCGATAATTTGGACAAAGGTATATTTGAGCTTAACAATGCTTCACACAAATCATGGTTAAATATCTCTTGCTCATTTGATTTCCGATTAGTTGATTGTAAGCATCTAGATATCGAATCTTGCTTTTTCTCTCCCGATTCTAATTTCGGTTTTTTGCCGGTGTGTAAAGCAGTTTTGCAATGCTGAACTATTTGGAATTTTTTTTCGCATGGTATCTGCAAAAAAAATCCTACAGTAAACTAAATAATTTTTAGATCGAGGGTTATTAAGGCATTTATTATGCCTGGTTGCACCAACACATCTTAAGCTTAAAACGTGCCTTAAGCTCAGCTTACGAAACATAAGCTTTGTACTCAAAAATGATGGTGCAACGTAAGCGAAACAAAAAACGGCCCTATCTAAAAGCTGAGCTTGGCTAAGCTGGAGATTAAGATTTGTCGGTTCAACCAGGCATTAAATGTGTAACAAAATAACTTAACCATCAAAAATGCATATTTTTTTGTTTCTGATTTAGTCTACTCGCAACATAAGGAGTCCCGTGGGAAATTCTAGCTCGCCGTGATTTGATGGTGGTATTATAGATTTTTTGGGTCGCTTAATCTAATGGAAGTGTTCTGGAAGCCCAAATATTACCCTTCTTCTCCTTGCAGTAACGTCTCCTATCGGAAGTTGACTACCATCACAGCAATTTTAACTTTGTTGGCTGCAGCTCTGAACAACTGTATTGAACACATTTCTCTTTCCCCGAGATTTTTTCTTAGATTGTGAGTCTTAGCAGGGAGTACTTTTCTCCTCTCGTTATGTGGCCTAGCTATTCCAGTTTTTTGTTTGTATGCTGTATGGTAACAAATTATGGTAAAATTAGGTATTTTTCAGGTATTATTAGAAGCCCTGCAAAAAAAATGATAGTGTTATCTTCTCTGGTGTATTTCTGCTCGCTGAATCGAATGCGACTAGTTGCGATTACTCAAAATATATTCTTATTTTGTTAATAACAAAATAATTGTTTATTCGCCGAAATGCTCGAAATAATGCGATCTCTACATAAAGTTTGTAGTCTTTTTCATAGCTTTTTTAAGAACAAAATTTTTGGAAAAATTACTTTTTGAGTTATTTACGAGAAACCGTCTAAAACGTGTTTTTTTTGAAAAATGAGCATATTCACTCGCAAATAACTCGAAAAATATTGACTTTGTAGAACAAAAGTTGCTTAGAATAATTAATCACTTAATCAGTTTATCCACTTCTGGACTTATTTTAAAGGTATTGTTTTCACCCCCGAAAAAAGAGGTGAAACTCACCCCCAGGGTAAAAACACACATCGGCACAATATCAGTTTGTTGTAAAAACAACATTTTATATTAATTTTAGTATAATTTTTAGTTCTCACAAATATTAGTTTGGATTTGATGTTAAAGACTGTACTTTTTGCCTGCAAGCTATTTGTGCCATAAATAGCTTATAAGGGTTGTTTAAAGTGGTAAAACCGACGCCGCTTTGTCGGCAATTAGGTAAAGATTCAATTCAAAATCTCTCGCAGATGTGACCAGTGTCTCAAGCTGTTCGGTACTAGTAGCCGGTACCCAAGCTCTCTCTTCGCCGCCAAAATTCAGTGAAATGTGTATTTGTTTTTCTCGATTGTTCGCGCGCCCCTAAAACGCCGATATAATAATGGACAATGTTTTAAAGCGAACTCTTTCGTTAGTATTAGTGTTTGTGTAAATATTCTCTTGTTATTAAATGTGTAGATTCAATTAATTACGCTTATTTTTCTCTAAGTACAACCCCTATTAAATCAAACACATAAAGAACCAGCGCCGTGAAGTTCTGCTTGTATATATCGAAGGAAAAACTCTTGTACAGTCCATGGTCCTAAAATATTTGGAACTGTACACGCACGGGGAAAGGAATTTAATAAGCTTTCCCCACAACAATTGGTGGAAATCGGAGAAAACTCCATCATTGTTTGTGGTCCTTACTCGACGGATTTG